ACAGGGAGGTGATGCCTGAAACATGTGGTCGGTCCATGGGAGAGGGTGGAGGGCGCCTGGCATGGCACGAGTAACCTCTTTGGCCTCGGCACTACTGCCCGCTCCCTGGGCTGGCTGCTTTTGTGCAAGGTAATCCCCTAAAATTAGAAATTCCTCAAGATCTCATCTCTGCACTGCTCGATGTCTGATTGCAACTGGTGGTGCCTCTTTCCAGCTTTCTTTTTTTGACTTGTAAATTATAGACATAGAAAATTAAGCTTTAAATGCAGAAAGGAGGCATCCCAGGGCAGGACCCTGGTTTGCCATGGGCTGGACCCCTTGCTGCTGCAGGCTGGGTGCTGCTGTGTGCCTGCACTGCAGAGGGACATGGTGATTCTCAGCAAAAACCAGTCCCTGCCCTGGGGACCGGACAGTTGAAATAGAAAACAAGGGGAGACAGCAGGAGCAGAGGTACAAAACAGTGACCGCAAGCCTTGGGGCAGAGCCTGGCTGTGCTGGTGCATTCAGGGTTTGCTGTCCCCCTTCCCTGTGGCACTGGGCACTGCTGGTCCCACCTGACGGAGCTGCTCTGCTCTTGCCCTTGTAGTTGGCGACAAGGTGCCAGCGGACATCCGGATCATCGAAATCCGGTCCACTACCCTGCGGGTCGACCAGTCCATCCTCACAGGTGCGTGCAGGCGTGGTGGGGTGGAGGCAGCTGCTGAAGGCAGAGCTTTCCCTCTGCCGTCTGCCCCAAGGCAAATTTTGGGGCTGACACTGGGCTAAGTGCTTTGCTGGGGTGGGAAATGGGTGGGAGAATGAGATTGAGGACCTGGGGAGGTCCCAGCGTCATCTAAAAGTCATGGCATAGGTGAGATGTGCCTGGTGCTTGGGCATCCCTCCTGCAAAATGCATAGCATGGGGCTTTCCTGTGCGACACGTGGGGTTTCGTGAGGGGCTCTCAGTCCCTGCCCACGCTCCCCCCGTGCAGCCGTCACACGATGACCGCTGGTGCATGCAACTTCAGGGAGAGATGACAATATTTGGGGCTTTTTTTTAAGCACTGGAAAAGCCCTTAAAGCTGATAATCTATGGCATTTCAAAAATTCTCTCTCTCTGCTGTCAGGGAAGGCTGGTGAATGATCAGCTGACCAAAAGGGCTTCCAATATTTCAGCTCTCGTGCATGATTTTGTAAAGGCATTGAGTTAGGAGATGGCAGCAGGGAAGGAAAAGCAATCAGAAAAAATGTTAACAACACAGGGAAAGGAGCCCAGTCTCCTTGAAAAGTAGCTTTGCATTAACTTAGTTCTCCGAGGGCAAAAGGAGATGCAGCAAAAGGGCAAATCTGCAAAGAACAAAATATAAGCCTTCAGCAGAAGGGCTTTGGGCGCCTTTCCTGTTGGCCCTACGAACCCCATCTGACCGTGCAAACCCACGCTGCAAGCCAGTGGGCTCCCTGGCGCAGGGATTGGGCCCCATCCCATGGGGCTGTATGGGAGCTCGCAGCTGCTAGTGATCTGCACAGGTAATTTTTCTGCAGCCCTCATCTTCAGAGCACCTTGGCCCAGCTCTGACATCCCCATGATGGATGTTTTGATGGTTTGGTGGCAAAGTGCTGCTTTAAAAAGCTGCAGGGGCTGTGATGCAAGCTCGTAACAGCGTTGAGCGGAGGCTGGAGAGGAAACACGGGTGGTTTATCTCCCCCCTCTTGTTTTGGCAGGGGAGTCTGTGTCGGTGATCAAACATGCTGACCCTATCCCTGATCCCCGGGCTGTCAACCAGGACAAGAAGAACATGCTTTTCTCTGTAAGTCCCTTACACCTGTCCCCACCTCTCCTGTGGTTTTGCAAAGAGCCACCAAGTGAAGAAGCTGATGGATACAGGAGGTCTCTGAGCAGGGAGCAGTAAATACATGCATGAGAAAGACCCAAATCCATAAAAAGAGACCCGAATCCATAAAAATGAGAGCCTGCTTCCACAGGATTTCATTTGGGCTGTGGCACATGACACCCTTAAATGCCTTGGGTGATCTCAGCGGGTTTTCCATCAAGTAGGATGCGTTCCAGACAGGGAGAAGGTTTGTGGTTGAGCCTGGAGCTATTGCAAGTTTGGGTTTCTGCCTTGCTCGTGCTCCTCTCAGGCAGAAGCCAAGTCCTTGAGGGGCAAGAGAGCTTTCAGGAGGGGTCTCCTGCTGCTTTAGGGTGTATTTATATAAAATCCCCATTTTCCCCTTAACCAAGATCTCATGTTCTCATTTCACAACAAGCAACCCATTTCCCTGCTCAGACCAAGAGGTTTCATGCCCATAGATCCACTCTGGCCCCTTTCTTCCCTCCCAGGGCACCAACATTGCAGCTGGAAAAGCTGTAGGGGTCGTCATTGCGACAGGGGTGTACACTGAGATCGGGAAGATCCGAAACCAGATGGTGGAGACAGAGCCTGAGAAGACACCCTTGCAGCAGAAGCTGGACGAGTTCAGCCAGCAGCTCTCCAAAGTGATCTTCCTGGTGTGCATCGCCGTCTGGGTCATCAATGTCAGCCACTTCAGCGACCCTGTCCATGGTGGCTCCTGGTTTCGGGGAGCCATCTACTATTTCAAGATTTCAGTGGCACTGGCGGTGGCCGCCATTCCTGAGGGCCTACCAGCTGTCATCACCACCTGCCTGGCACTGGGCACGCGCCGCATGGCCAAGAAGAATGCCATCGTCCGGAGCCTGCCCTCAGTGGAGACCCTGGGCTGCACCTCTGTCATCTGCTCCGACAAGACCGGCACCCTCACCACCAACCAGATGTCTGTCTGCCGGGTGAGTGCCAGGGGCGTTTCAGGTTTTGGGGTGCAGGGGGGATGCTCTGTAAGCCCCTGAGCACTCTACATCGCTCCATCCCCATCCTGGGGTGATGGTCTTTGCTGTCCTCACCAGACTTGTTTCATGTTAGGAATTTGAAGGTAAGCATGGAAGATGGTTTAGAAAGCCCTGAGCTTCCTCTCACCTGACCAAGGTCAATAAGGTTAATGGCTTCTCTTGGCATGGTTGTAATTAGGAAACTCACTTTTCTGAGCACACCAGTTGGGGGTGCCGTGTTGCAGACTTACTTCAGGGCTCCCTCTCCAGAGAGCATTTCTTTTTGCTGGGATCTGGTGTTGAGACAGAGCTCCTGGAAAAGCCAATGCAGTCAGCCCCTCTGCTCTTTTGCCTGTTTTCCCCCTGTTTTTAACCAAACCAGTGAGAAATCCCAGACCAGGCAAAATTACAAAGCCTGGACCTATGAGGCCAAAACTTGGAGGGTCAGTGCAACACATGGGTCCATCTGACCATGATGAACTCATGCAGAAATCCAGGGGTTAAGAGAAGATGCCCGTGACCTGGTGAAACGGTGCTTCGGTTACCCATCCTCGCCTGGCGGAAGGTCTGCCATCGCAGTTGTGTGCAGCTGGGCTCAGACTGAAAAGCACTTCTGACGGAGGGAGCCCTGGGGTGGTTTGGTGAAGAGGTCGAAGGCTCCTGGTCTACCAAAGAGCTTTGCTCCTGCGTGCCTGACCATACGGGGAGGTGACTGGTTAGGAATGCCTGGACCATCCAAGTACTTCTCAGTTTCCCCATTAATCCTCAAGTCTCAGGAAAGCTTTTTTTCATGGCCTTGGCACGTCAGTTTTATAGGAGAACCTTGGAAAATGTGTTGCTGTGGGGAAAAATGGACCTGGCCACCGTCCCTCCTCTCTGACACTCGGGTAGTGTGGTGGGAAGCCATGACCGTGTTGCAAGCTGGCCATGGGTTTTGGCCACTGGTTTGCTCAGCACAAACTACAAATGACTGGAAACATCTGATATTTCTGCCCTGTAAGTGATTTAAAACGAGACACTGCTGGAATGAAGCAGTGACCAGGCTGCCCACATCTTGCATGAAGAGAAGGTTCTCACCAGCCCTTCCCAAAAAGCAGCCCAGGGGACACCAGCAGGTCCTGCCCCGGGGCTGTGGGGATGTGGCCGGCTCATATCGTGTTTGCCATCCCTCCGGTTTCTGGTACTGAGCCCACGGTGATGTTGCGGGTGGGTGCCAGAAACACAGCTCTGCCGGGACGGGGTGATGCCTCCTGCTTATCAGCTGGGCATTCCCAGGCATGTGCTCACACCGCTTTCATATTAATAACAGGAGTTATTTTTATGGGCTGATTTTCATGCCAAGACAATGGCCAGTTTGTTCCTAGCTCTTCAATTTTTGGGTTTTCATTTTTGGGCTGTTGGGACAAAGTGGCCAAAGCACATGCACTCTGGTGGGGCTGCAGCAGTGTGAAGCTCAGAGCGGTGCGTGCCACCCCGGCTGAACCATGGGACACCACTGATTTTCTGCCCCTGGGATGGAGGGAAGTGAGTAAAGGGTGACCCCAGCGTTTGGGGTCTCTAGCTCTGCAGACTGCAGAAGGAGAGGTAGGACACGGTCATGCCTTCCCCAAACCACTTCCGACTGGAGGATCTGCTCCTCGAGCTAGGGCAGAAGTGCCACCGTCTCCCGCACTGTGGTGCGGTCGGGAGAGGCAGGATTAGTGATGCTGAGACAGGGAGAGGGCTTGAGGGGGACGGAGTGGGGCAGCAGCACTCATGAGGTTTTTAGCTTCAATCAGCCCTAACTTGGCCCAAGTTAAAATTTGCAAAGCAGCACATTGGAAAAAAAAAAAAAAAATTCAGTTCAAAACTCCATGTATCCTCCACCCCGCCTCCCCGCAACCCCCTTCTAATATCCATGTTATTCACTTGGCTGAATCCTGACTCCCAGGGCGTGATACCGAGAGCTAGGCTGGCCTCAGGACACACAGACACGGCTGTTAATGTTTAACGGACAGGGATTCCCATGTTGACGCAGGCAGTACGGAGGCTGCCGGCAGCTCTGCCGAGCGGCGGGTGGGTAAATATTTGCGCTGGGCGGCTGTTGGCATGTCCTGGATGTGCTCCGGCACCGAGCAGCCAGCTCAGCTACAGGGGTGCAAAAGCCACGAAAGCCTATCAATATTGATAACCTGGAAAAATGTATTAATTGAGTGCAATTTAATTAACGCACACATTTAATTTGGGTGAGTGCAGCTGCTCAGCCACAGGGTATGCTGCCGAGTGATGCTTTCCCTTTATGTCCCGCTGCCGGCGTCAGGTCTGTAGAGCTGTAAAGTGACTTTTGAAAGGCTTCGCGTCTGTTTTAAAACCCTCAGCTGTTTTTTAAGGGCTGCACTGCTGGCTCTGGGTCCCGCTCGGTGCCCAGGACTCGTGGCCAGGGTGCACGCTGAGCCGGCTCAGCAGGATGCAGATGGGTGCCGTGCGGTCAGCAGAGGCGAAGCGGTGCCCCCCAATGCCCATGGGTGCTAAGTGCCCACTGAAGGGCTTTGTGCCGGGGGCCTTATCCATCTGGGATGGCCAAGACTTTGGTGTTTTTGCTCTGGCCTTGAGCCTACCAGAGGTTACAGCTCTGGAGTAATGCAGTAAAGTCACAAACCCATTTAGTAAATCAGGTTAAACGTGTGGTTCGTGTCATTCACCTTATGGTCAACTGGGGGTCTTTGAGACCGCCATCCCACCCAGCCCATGGTGTGGAGCAACCAGGGTCAGCCTCCTCCCAACCATTAAATAACCATTAAATAACCATTAAATAACAATTAAATAACCGTGCAGATGGGAGTGATGGGAGTCTGGCAGGGGGAGGAGGCAGAGAGGCATTGTAGCTCTGCTCTTGCACATTTAAATCAGTCTTCTAAAAGTGGCGGCACCCTTTTATGCACCATAACTTAATTTCCCAGGAGCACAAGGGTGGCGTTGGAAAGTCAGGACCCGAGGCGGAGATGCGAGTGTGGCTGTGTGGGCTTGGGGCTGCTGCTGCATCGGGCAGAGCAGGACAGGGCTGGAGCGGGGAGATGCTGGCACCCTGTGTCCAGGAGAGGGAGGCGGCTGGTGACGTTTGGCTGTCTCTGAGATGGCTGGTGTTTTGGGGAACAAGGGCAGAAAGGGGTTTATTTTCAATAAACCGTGTAGCAGAGCCTGGGTGTGCAAACTCCCATCCCCGGTGCAGCCGCCCAGGAGGTGTGCGGGCACTATTTGCTTTTCAATCTCCAGGACACCATGCCTCGATTTGGCAGGTTTGTCTATCTAAACCAGTCACTAATTAATGGGAGACCTTGCTGGGGGTTTCCCAGGGGCTGTGGCCGAGCCACCGGCTGTGCCAGCTGCCGGTGGGTGCCTGTTGGCTGGGGCTGCTTCCAGCGCAGGAGGAAAATGATGCTTATCTGTGGGCTGATTGATGGGTAAATGACTGATGATTACAGCCTCTTACTATTCCAGACAGCAATCCTATCTTGTCTGCATTTTGAGAAGTAATTTTTTAAAGATATTACAGAAAATACAGAAATGTGGAGATGTATCCTTTGCATCTCTCTTCCCTGCAAGCCTGCAGCCAGATGCCCTGTGCTGCTCCAGGGACGGTACATCCATGAGTGCCCTTTGCTTTCTAAAAATACATGCCGGCAGCATCCGGCTCTGTGATACAGTGCCAGGGCCAGGCGAGATCTGCGGGGCAGGAGAAGCTCTTCATAAGCACATAGTAACGTTTTTCTTTCCCACTCTCCGTTACATTAAAACCCCCAATTGCTGGCATGGTTTTAAGAAGGTTAAGGGCAGGGGGGTGAGCAGGGGGAAGCCCTGGGGGGTGCTGGCTGGGTTCCCCTTGCTGGATGCTGGAGCTGGTGTTCACCGTGGCCAGGCAGGGGGTCAGGCAGCCCCTCTGTGAGCAGCTCTCTTTGGCAGCCTCCCCAAACCGCCCAGCCAAGCTGCGGCACACAGCTTTGCCACCTCCTCCTATTGCTCCTGTTATTATTTTTATTATTTTTGGGATGGAATCCTTACTTATCCTCTTTACGGATTAAGACATAGCTATTTCTTCCGGACTGTTTCCACTGCCTGCAAACGTGCCCCTTTTTCAGCCTGGCAATCTGCCGAAACATCACGCCAAAAAACCTGCAAACACCTTTGCAATGCCCTGGCCGCCCCCTCGTTCTGCCAGTCACGCAAGCCGGGAGCAGGCAGGAAATTTGATATAACCTCTGGTTGCTGTGGGTTACACAGCACCTTTTTAAATAGGCATGGAAAAATAAAGGGCCTGGAATGATTTTTTTTTTTTTCCCTTTTCCTTTTTTAATAAGAAAGTTGCTATTGTGAAAATAGTAATTGTTTTGTAGTCATGAGCGTTTGAAAACAAACAGGCCCATATCAGGCAAAACCACCAGTGGCTGGGGTGGATGCTTTGAGATTTTGTAATAAATAAGAGTCCGGTTGGCATTTCTGAGTGCAGGAGTCCATTTTCTGAAGAGACCAGGAGACTTTGGCTCTCTGGAAGGTTGATGGCATTGGACGTCTCAAAAAGAGCTAAAGGATGCTCACCCTTCAAAAGTCCCTTTTGGTATTGCAGAAGCCTCTGCTTTGGGAAATTTCAGCCACACTTGGCCTCTGTTCCTGGAGTCCGTCATCTCGGGGCAATTCAGTCACCAAAGGAGACACAATGTGTTTCGGCTCTCTTTATCGAGATCCTTCATGCTTTTAGTGCTTGCAGCTCCTGCCAGAGGAGCTCAGTGCCTCAGCGGAGAGCCTGGGATGTCCTGAGTCTTTTCTGCAACCCTTTGGCTTGTGGTTTTCTTTAAAACCCTTCAGGGATGCTGAGGGGCCTCAAGGATGGGCTCTGGGAAAGGAGCTGAGGGCAATAGCCCAGTAAACGGGGTATCTGCAGATAGTTACGAAGCTGTGGGGATGTTGCTTTGGGCTCAGAAGTATTTATGTAGGATACATATGCTTTGAACCTCCCGCTTTGATTTGCCTAAACCTGTGAAATACAGAGGTGAGAAAACCCACAGAGGTGAGAAAACCCGCCGAGGTGTCCTGGTGCTAAACTTGCCATAAATGTGCTTCCCCGAGCTTGACCGTTTTTCCTTGGTTTGGCCCTAAGATTGTACCCAGGGATACCAGGCTGCATGGGGAGGTCTTACACCCACCGGCCAACGTGGCTGCACTGGTGGGGTGTCCTTGTATTATTAACAATAATTAATAATAATAGTAAATTAACCTCTGTTAGTTGCTGGAGGAAGTGCGGAGGGGAGGGAAGTGGATGGTACCCAGAGCCATTGCATCTCTGGTGCTGAATGATGCTTCCCGATTTCTCCTGGGGAACATCTCAAATGAACAGAGGAAAATAAATAGGAAAAATAAATTATTTGAGACAGGGTGGAGACGGAGAATTGCCCCTGCACCCACTTTCCGGAGCCATCAAGCAGGTCTGTAGAGCTGAAGGCATCACTTTCCTGCAGCCATCCTCCCTCCTGGCTGCTCCCCGCAGGCGCTTGCGGCTGGGGAGACTCATTTGTCAAGCCAATTTTATCTATCTATCTATTTATTTATTTATTATGTTAGGTTTTGGCTTCAGTGTGGGTCGTAAATAGTGATTAAGCAGAAACGAGCATTGCGAAACTGTCGCCCTGGCTGGGGTCAGGCACTGCTCTTGCTGCCACTGGAGGTGCCCCGAAGGGTGGGCTGTGCAAGGGGAGATTAGGAGAGCCTGGGGAGAAGGGGGATTTTGACTGTATTTTCATTATTTTTGGTTTTGTTGCTCTTACTATAGCAGCAAGAGAGAAACTGGAAGGAGTCTGAAAGGCAAAAATCACTAAAAATAGAGTGTGTGTGACTTCTATGGCTCCCCGGGGCTTTATTATTGAGCTGCACTCTGCCAGTGCCTGGAGCCAAGCTGCGATCCCGGTAACGCACAAGGCGAGCTGGTGGCTGAGAGCTGGCTGGAAAAGGGTGGCGGGGGCAGCCCCTTCCCGCAGCTCCTGGCTGGTCAGATCCTGCCCTGCGGAGGCTTTCCAGGGCAGCCAGGGCAGGAGCGGAAACCTGGACCCAGCTCTTTCTCTGCTCCAAGAAAAACACAGGCACCTTCTTAGGAACTGGCTTGGCATCGCTCCTCTCCGGTGGAAAAAAAGAGCTGGAGGAGGTGAACATGAAAAAGGCAGGGGAGAGCTGGAAGGATTTGGGGATGGCCAGGAGCGGTGGGTGACCAGGGAGGAGGCTGAGCCCGGCGCCGGTGCGGCCATCGCTGGGACGGTACCAGCTGGCAGGTCTCCAGGCTGGGCGTGTGGGTTGTACCAAAAATCACTGCCTAATGCTCTGTCTCCATCTTTCTCCCTTGCAGATGTTCATTATGGAGAAGGTGGAGGGCACCCAGTGCAGCCTGCATGAGTTCAGCATCACAGGCTCCACCTACACCCCCGAGGGACAGATGTGAGTGCGGGTCTCCTCTGCTTTGCGGGTGACACGGGCTGGTCCTGGGCTGGCAGCACGGTCGGGGGGAGGTGGGACGGTCGATCTCATGGCCGTAGCTGGGGGACCCCAGGCTCACCCCCCGAGCTGGGGAGAAAGAGGGTTTTTCCACGGCGGTTTGCAGCCACACTGAACCCTGCCTATGGACATACCCACTGGGGGCTGGTTTTTGGCCACACTGGGCTTGCAAGCATCAGGTGGCTGCCCTTCACTTTCGGTGAGAGCCACGGCAATCATTTCACCATCCCTCGTTGCCGGCTCCTGCCCCACACGATGTGGGGGCCGCACGCCCTGGCTCCGCCTGCCGCCCTCCCACTGCTCAGCAAAGGGGCTCCCGTGCGCGCGGCTCGACCTTTGCTAGCAAGCCAAATAAAATGAACCTGCATTGAAGCGGAGAAGACAGCAAGGGTGGCAATAGCAATGAACAAGGCTTTTTGCAGTACATGCTCATTCTCCAAATTTCTGAAGCCTGCGCATTTTTGGTATCAGCCAGCAACTGTTGCCCCTGCCCCCAGCAGGACCCAGGGCCAGCAGCTTGTCTGGGAGCCGCGCCACCGGCAGTGTGTGGAGGGACTTGCAAACGGCTGCAAACCCTGTCAGGAAAGCGCTCCCCGAGCCCCACGTCCTCGGCAGGGACAGCCGAGATGGCTGCTGTGCCTGGGGCACGGTCCTGCTGATGTCAGGACACGTTTCAGGGGAGCTGTGGGCTTTGCTGAGCTGCAGCCAAGGGTGGGGAGTGGAAGCCAGGGGCTTTTCTCTGGTGCGTTATTACACAAATGGGGTTTTCTGCTGTTGTGTTTGTTTATTCCCCCTCCTTCAAAGGGAGGTGATGCTCCCCAGTGTGGGGAAAATCTGGGAAGGAGGAAGATGAGAAGCTCAGCCAGTGGCTGGAGCACTCTCCGCTCCCCTTCGCTTTGCTGTGTGATCCCAAGCACGTTCTTCACCGTGGTCCCTTCTGCTCATCTGTGGAGCGACTATAATTCATCCCAGCCTCAGACTTAATTTCATGAATATTTATAGAGCCAATTTGATCCTTGGCTAGGAATCGCCATTAAAAAGTGAGCCAGGTCATAAGCTGGTATCAATCAGTGTGTTTCAATTAAATAAGAAGGACTGAGGAGCTGAACTGATGTCTGCTAACCTCTGAAGCTGCAGTGTCCCCTCTCCTCCGGGGACTGCCTGCGGCGAGGCTCTGCATTGGTCTGCTGCAATTCATGTTGCTTTTGAGTTTTGTTTCAGCCCCGTGCTCACCCTGCGCATCAAGGGGGATGTGAGGTCTTGCTTAGGTGTCATGGAGAGAAATGCCCCCATTCCCACAGGGCTGGTGGGACTGAAATGCTTGGAGGACTCAGCAGCTTTGTTTTAGCCTGGTCTTGCTGGGGGGGATATTACGTGCTTGGCCTTGGGTTGGATTGCATCCCCGCACAGCACCCATCCAGCAGCACCTTTGCTGATGCCTTTCCTGGCACGTGGATCAAGCCCGGTTCCGTGCAGGGACAGCTGACGATGGGGATGTATCCCCCCATCCCTTCCCAGCAATATCCAGGGGATCACACACTGCAGAAGCCATCCTTGGTATTTCCACCTTCCCAAAGATCAAAACCTGGCCCAGAGTGTCTGCAGGCTCCCTCTTCCACCTGCTGCCTTCCCCCTGCCCGTGAGCCCGGGGCTGGGCAGCATCCTCTGGGCAGGAGGCAGCAGGTCTCCCCTGCCTGCTCGCAGCCCAGTGCGGCTTCTTGTCCCTCAGCAAACAGATTTTTCAGATTTTCTTGGCCACTCCCTGTTTTCCGCTCCTGAGCTGTAACAAGGGCTCCAAAATGTTCTTTCCATTGGGAACCAGCAGTGGAATAAACTGATCCTAATAAATGCCTGACAAATTATTTTTCCAGCAAGCAGATGACCGGCTGGGTTTATACAGCTCTAACCTGCAGTTACCTCTCCTGGAGTCAGGATAATTTTTTATTTCCCCTGAAAACCACCGCTGCTGTTTCTGCCACTGGGCAGCGGGTGAGAAGCAGCGTCCGCTTGACTGGTGTGTTCAGGGCTGCTCCTTTCCAGTGACGTTTGTGCTCCTTTACATAGCAAAGAGCTACTATTTAAGAAGCAAAGGCCACAGTTTGCTGCTTGCTTGGAAACAACCACAGCAATGCAGTTGTTAAATTTGTCTGCTGCTTTTAAATGCTCCCTTGGGTACCCTCTGGCTCGCCGGACCATGAAGCAGCATCATGGGGAGGAGAAGGGACTTGCTGCCCGTCCTACAGCTCCTCTGGATCCCCAGCAACTGGAAACCCCTGGAGGAGTGAAAATTAACTTGAATTTCTTTGCCCCTTTTCTCCATCATCTTCATCATCAGCCTTTTGACAGCCCTTGCTTTCAGGTCCAATATTCTTTTGAGCTCCCCTGCAGCCCCGTTTATTCTAGGGCACTTCCAGAGTTTATGTGCCTCCTGTGATATTTTATTTGCAACTAGTCCTGCCACATTTGGTAAAGCACAAAATGCGAACCCAAGTGTTTATTGCCAAGCCCGAGGCTTTAACTGGGCTCTTTCTCCCTCTTTTCAGAAAATTTTACAAGGGATATATAGGAGAAGCTAAGTATTTGAATGTGTAACCTGGTGAAGTGTAAGGCTTTGGGGTTGTTTTCTCCCTGCAGCCTGAAGGACGAGCAGCCGGTGCGGTGCGGGCAGTACGACGGGCTGGTGGAGCTGGCCACCATCTGCGCCCTCTGCAACGACTCCTCGCTGGACTACAACGAGGTGCGGGGGGCACCGGGGCTGGGGCGGTGGGGGGGCACCGGCGATGCTCTTCCCTTTGCTGCAGGCCCCTTTGCAGCAGAGGTTTGTCCCTTGGCATCCCCTGCCCTGGCTTCAGCCCATCCCAGGTCAATGCTCTGGGAGCCCGGGGATGGTGCAGTGGGCAACAGCATCCTTGGTCGGAGCAGCAGGTAGGGGATGTGCTCTAAAGCTTAAGCTCTTTTATTTTTTTTTATTGCACTCTAGTCCAAAAAAGTCTACGAGAAGGTGGGGGAAGCCACTGAAACAGCCCTGACATGCCTGGTGGAGAAGATGAATGTCTTCAACACTGACACCAGCAAACTCTCCAAGGTGGAGCGAGCCAACGCCTGCAATTCAGTGAGTGTGGGGGAGGCCCCTGCGAGCGCCAGTGCTGGGGGATGGGAGGGAGAGGAGGGCTTTGGGATGACTGTTATTTGAGCAATAACCACTTGCAATGATCTAAGAGACTGATCTGCCACAAGGATGCAATTTCCTGGCTCACAGGGTGCTGAGCTGTTTTTGGAGCAGATGCTGCAATGGCCCTGGCGGGGCTGAAGCCAGGGCTGGGGGGTCTAACCTGGGTCCACATGGAGCTTCAGAGTGGGTGATCCCTGAGGCTCAAACTCAGCCCAGTCCCTGCTCAGCTGGGAGAGACTGCCACGGTGATGGCCAGAGCCCTGGCTGCAGATGAGGAGGTTTGGAGTTTTGTAGCTCTGCAGCAAATCTTCAGGTGCCCAGTTTGCACTGAGCAGCCGTCCTCCATAGTGTGAACCAAACCCCGTTCCCCGGAGCCATGCCTGCCTGAACGAGGCTTGCTCTTTGGAAACATCTGGTTTTGATGTGAAAATATCCCATGCTGGCTATGCTGGCTCTCCATTGTCTCCCTGTCCTTCTGGTGAAAATACACTTTATTTCATGTCTGGATTTACTCGGCTTTGGTATTGTGCTGTTAGATCTTATAATGTCTTTACTTGCTTGAAGGAAGGGCGCTCTGTTCTGGCATTTCTTCCCCAGATAGGTCTGAGCAGGTCATAATAAATCCCCTGACTCCTTTCTGATAAGGGAGATGGAATTTCCCAGCTGTACATTGGTCCTGCAGCTGCTTCGTTACGCATGCCCATCACTGCCCTTCCACTCAGATGCCAGGCTGGGTTCGGTCACGGGTGCTTCTCTCCTGACTCTTGTGTTTGGGCAGGGACAAAAACCCCTTCCTTGGAGTTTCCTGGCAGCATTTCTTCACTGCTTCTTGATTTTGCTCCCAGTGGCTCTGTGCTTTGAAATCTCCAGTGGGATTTCGGGGTTTTCACAGCAGCTGGCTGCTCCCAGGTGTCCTTGCCGCTGCACTGAGCGTGCAATGCCCAACGAGGACAACACTGTTTTTGTGGGCACAAAACTTCCTGCCTACGTGTAGTCGCTGCACTCGTACCCTGTGCTGGGTTTGGTCTTCGAGAGCCGCTTGGTGTTTGCCTGGTATATCCACAGACAGTGCCCGCGTTTTGCGTGGGCAAATCCCCTTTGCACATCTCTCCACCTCCCCAGCTCCCGCTCGCAGCTTCATTGCAGCAGGAGCATCCTTTTAACTCTGAACTTGTAAGGTTTTACCCCAAATGGGATTTTCTTTTCCTTTGCTCCCTTCACTGATTTATTTAGATTTAAGTTGCTGTAAAAGTCCTGTGCAAAAAGCTGCTTGTGTCCCCATCGCAAGCGACACCCTCCTGGCAACAAAAAATAATAATCGTATAAGCTGTTGAGCCATGCAGAGCAAGGTTGGCATCAACGTCCCTGCTGCCTTCTCTGGAAAATACTTTGGATCAGTCCTCGATGCCCTGTTCATTAAATGGCTTTTCTGGGACAAGACATGTCCTCCCAGGAGCCGGGCTCAGCTGCCGTGATGCTGATGTGGATCTGTGAGAGGGGGATGGGTCTGAGGAGGGCTAGCTGCTATCTTGCTGAGCATTTGGCTCCTTAAGTAATTAACTAGCAGCAACAGTAGAGCCCGGTTTGTGGTGGGGTTTTGGGGGGTGTTGGGGTGCAGGAGCCTGTCTGTGGGCACTGCCTGTGCCCGTGGGTCCATGCACTGGGGCAGCCCCTGCTCCGTCCTCTCCGTGCAAACCTGCCGGTACCATCTGAGTGAATGATTGTTACGGCTTAGCTGGCAGTCCTCGGGGCAATTAGCATGTCCTGAAATGAGCCTAATTAAGTCTCAGCTGCAGAGCTGGTTAATTTGATGGGAACCAATCCAGCCTCAGATGATGTTGGTGCTCCCATTCCCACTGACCCCTGTGGGTGCAGGATCAGGGCAAACCCCTCAGCTGTAATGAGTGGGATGCAATTCACCTTCCTGCAGGGCAGCTGGAGCCCAGTGCAGGGGAGGTCTCCCCCACCTCTCTGGCGAACAGGGCTTTATCTTAGGCTACAGCAGCTGTTTGGCATCTCATGTAGGGTCAATAAAATAAAGGCCTGGCACACACTGGTGTGTGCTGGGCAGCAGTGGTGTAGTTGGAGGGGTTAAAATTCTCATGAAAAATTGCATAGGGAAAGCTCCTTCTGATTTTGCACTGTCCCATCCCTCCTGGCTCCTGTGGTTGCCTTTCTCCTCCCATCACCGGTGCTGTGCCGGCTCGGCAGGGTTGTTAGCTGAGGCCGAGAGCAGCAGCCATTGCGTCCCTGTCATGTCCCGGCTCAGCTCCACGCTGTCCCCACAGGTGATCAAGAAGCTGATGAGGAAGGAGTGCACCCTGGAGTTCTCCCGCGACCGCAAGTCCATGTCAGTGTATTGCACGCCCACCAGCCCCGGCCACAACTCCGCCGGGAGCAAGATGTTCGTCAAGGTAGGGGAGAAGGTCCTCAGCACCCTGCAGGATCCTCCTTCCCCATGCACATCCCAGCAGGATTTGGCCCTTACTGCAGCGGGCAGTGATGCTTTGCAGTTTTTCTCCTCCCTTAGCTGTCTGGCGGTCCAGGAGCCAACAGGTAGACTGGTGTGGTCAGGGAGTACTTTGCAGTACTGATAAGAAAAAAAGGAGGTAAAATGATTTAGAGGGAGGAAAAGGCGCTGAGTGTGCTGGTGCTGGGGCCGGGGGAGAACTGCCCCTGTGCAAAACTTGGGCACTTGCTTTTATTAAAGGCTTGGACCCTCCGGACACCAGTAATACCCAAAGGGTGATGTCCAGCTTTCCACTGTGACCAGAAATAAAATAGTGTTTTAAAGGGCATTTTCTTCCCAAGAGAAGAGATGAAGCAGGAATTTCCCCCTGCTGACTCCAAGGAGATTTGTATATTTTTGTTCCCACTGGGAGATCTTCTGGGTGGGTGAACTCTGTCCTCCAGGTCAGGTTGGGACCCTCGGGAGCCACCGCACCTGTGGCTCTGCCAGTCCTGGGTGAGGTTTTTTAAGAGGAGCAATAGAAGGATTGCGAGTTTTATATTAAAAAGCAATGTCAGGGGTCCTTTGTAAGGTCAGAAGGGCTGGGGTGAGACACTGTGATGTTAAAGGACGTTTTCCTGAATCACAAAGGCATTGCAAGCATCCGCTGAGCATCCCGCAGGCTGCGCATTTTTTCAGCAGAGATTTACAGCCCTAATCCCCTCCAGGTCTGAGAGGGGATCTGTGGTGCGGGAGTATCTCAGGCAGACGTGTAGGTTTTGCAGGAGTCAGATGGATCCCCTGCAGAGCAGATCCTGCCGTCTGGTGACCTGACGCGGGTTCGTCCTTCCCGGCCACGGTCGCCATGCGCTCGGTCGGAGGCTGCCATCTAGCGCGCTGAGCCGCCGTGCCGGGATGTGCGGGCTGGAGCCTTGGGGAGTTTCCTTCTCCTTTGCCCAAACTTGGTGCCTTCCCTCCCTCCAGCACTTCCTTCGGTGCTGGCAAGAGGTGCTCATCCTCCAGGGTTATTCCAGCTCCTAAGCCCTTTGCTCCTCCGCAGGGTGCCCCAGAAAGCGTGATCGAGCGCTGTACCCACATCCGCGTGGGCACCGCCAGGGTCCCACTGACGGCCCCGGTGCGGGAGAAGATCCTGGGCAGGATCCGGGACTGGGGCATGGGCATTGACACGCTGCGCTGCCTGGCCCTGGCCACCCACGATGCGCCCATCCGCAGGGAGACCATGCAGCTGCACGACTCCGCCACCTTCGTCCACTATGAGGTACGGCACTGGGGACTTTCTCCAGGAGCTTTTTTCCTTATTCTCTAAGTTTTTCCTCCCACTTCCAACTGCCTCAGCAGTATTTTCTCTCTGGTTTCTCTGCCGCCACTGGGCAGTGCAATCACTCAGCTCCTCCTCTGCGAACTCTCATGCAGAGCTGCATGCAGGGAGGCTGGTTCTGAGGTCAACAGCCCTGTCCCACCAGGCATCCATCCCCATGGAGTGACTGCCGAGAGGGGTCCAGGGACCACCAAGAGGGACAGGGATGAGGGAAGCAAAGTGGAAAGGCGTGAGGAGCAGCAGAGGGGATGGGAACATCCCATTGCATTGGGGCTACAGAGTGCATCCATGGGGCTCTTGGTAGGAAACCTCCAGAAAGTTTCAGGAAATCCTCGTGCCCAGGGTGGTTTCACAGCAGGGAGGGAAGCAGCTGCATCCCTGGGGATTAATGTGGGTCTGGGGCTGTCCCCCCGCAGAATAACCTGACCTTCGTGGGCTGTGTGGGGATGCTGGACCCTCCCCGCAAGGAGGTCACCTCCTCCATTGAGATGTGCCGCAAGGCCGGCATCCGCGTCATCATGATCACCGGTGACAACAAGGGCACGGCAGTGGCCATCTGCCGCAGGATTGGCATCTTCTCGGAGAGCGAGGACGTGACTGGCAAAGCCTACACGGGCCGGGAGTTTGATGAGCTGCCCCCTGAGGCACAGCGGCAGGCGTGCCGTGATGCCCGATGCTTCGCCCGTGTGGAGCCGGCGCACAAGTCCCGCATTGTCGAGTACCTCCAGTCATTCCATGAGATCACCGCCATGGTGAGTCCCCTGGGGATGTCCCACCACCCCTCGGCCCCCTCCTCTCCATCCAGCCCAATCCCTTGTACCCCGTTAATCACGGCTTCATGCAGACAGGCGACGGTGTCAACGACGCCCCGGCCCTGAAGAAAGCCGAGATCGGCATCGCCATGGGGTCGGGCACAGCCGTTGCCAAGTCGGCCGCTGAGATGGTGCTCTCCGATGACAACTTCTCCACCATCGTGTCAGCTGTCGAGGAGGGCAGGGCCATTTACAACAACATGAAGCAGTTCATCCGCTATCTCATCTCCTCCAACGTCGGGGAGGTCGTTTGGTGAGAGCCCCCCGCACCAGGCACCACACTGGGGGGAGCAGAGGTGGGGATGCATCCCCTGGGGCAGGTGACCTGGTCGTGTCCCCTACCCCTGGCAGCATGCGGTGCCCAAAATTGTAACTCTGGGTGCCAAACTGAGCAGCTCTGCGTTGTCCCCCAGGGACAGGGGGATTTTTCTTTTGTGGTTTTACAAGGACACCACCTCCCAGGAGCTGTTTTGTTAATGCATTGCCTGTTTAAGCCCATGCCAGTGTCTAAGATGGGTGCAGATATTTGTGGACAGGCTGTTGTCACCAGGTCGCACCAATGCACTTTGCATCAGGTCCGGGGCAGCTCTCCCTGTCCCTGTCCCCTGCCCATCCCTCCCAGTAATCAGTGCTGCCGTCAGCAATGTAGGCACAGCCTTGGGATCACTTGGGCATCCTTTGCCCTTGCATTTCAGCAGGGGTGTTTGTGCTGGCAACAGGATCCCATGTGGCCGTGAGGACATCAATGGTTGGGTTTTGACTGCAAAGCAAATTTTAATAGCAACAGGAACAAATTTTAGCTGCAAAATTCAATCCTGCACTTCACACTCCTGACTCAGGGGCTGCAGGTTCATCTGCAGGACTTTGGGTGAATATTCAGTTTGGGGTGTTTGGATCCAGGGTTCCTGCTCGCTCTCCCCTTGCACAACACAGATGCTTTCTCTGTCTGCCATGGAGTTCATCTAATTTCGTACATCTGTTTTTTAACCTGCAGCATCTTCCTGACGGCCATCCTGGGCTTGCCCGAGGCCCTTATCCCCGTGCAGCTACTGTGGGTGAACCTGGTGACAGATGGGCTGCCGGCCACCGCACTGGGCTTCAACCCCCCTGACCTGGACATCATGGACAAGCTGCCCCGCAATCCCAAGGAGCCCCTCATCAGTGGCTGGCTCTTCTTCCGCTACCTGGCCATCGGAGGTGAGCCCCTGCGGGTGCCAGTGGGCAGAGGACAAGCATGAGCATGGGGTGCCATGGGGTAGGGGGCTCCTTGCCGCGTGCTGGGGGTAAGGGTGTCTCTCTCGGCCACAGTGTACGTGGGCCTGGCCACGGTGGGCGCAGCGACCTGGTGGTTCTTGTACGACGCCGAGGGACCGCAGGTCTCCTTCCATCAGCTGGTGAGTCAGGAGGGGAATGGGCCAACGTGTTGAGCAGATGGGTGAGGGCATGGATTCAGGTGTTGGGGTCTTTCCTCTACCTTTCTTCTGTGGTTGTTGTAGTGTTCCCAAATTCCCGGTGGAGAAGACAATAATTTAAAATAAAAGCAAATTCTCTCCCTCAGGCTCATGTTTCCAGCCTTGCTTCTGCCAGCAATCAGCATGGTGGGAAAAACTTGATTCAAAGAAGCTGAAAGTAACTCCTGTACCTGATCCCACATTGAAAGGGATCGATTTTTACATTACTGTACATTACATTTTTACATTACATTTACATTACAGTACTGAACAAGGTGGTAGGAAAGCAGTTGCCATTGCAGCCCAATGTCACATGCAATGGAAGATGTATTTTGGATGGAGATGTGGGTGTGCTCAAACACCTTATTAACTGCACATGAAAATCTCTAAGCCACTATCCAGCCATAATCCCAAAGCCCCAACCACAGCAGAAGCTGGGTCACTTTAGACAGTTTTATCAGTTGCTCTGAACTGTGGGATATTTAACAGCACCCCTAATAATCAAGGTTCCCCATGTGCCCCCGAACCGGTCGACCTGTTCCTCCTCTTTCCTGCCTTTCCTACACTGCTGCTGTGCCATGTATTTACCAGCGGTTTCCTGTGCTGACAGAGGAACTTCATGAGGTGCACTGAGGACAACCCCATCTTTGAAGGAATCAACTGTGAGATCTTTGAGTCCCGATACCCGACCACAATGGCTCTGTCTGTGCTGGTGACAATTGAAATGTGCAATGCTCTGAACAGGTAAGGTGGCCACAGGATTACTCTGTGTGCTCTACGCATAACCAGTTTTGTGTAGGGACTCTTTGAGCATCCGTTGGTGGGCTGAGGGCTTTGCTTTGACTCAGCAGAGCCATTTGGAACGTTCTTGCAGGGGCCCACTGGGCTCACTGTAAATAAACTCCTCCAAGCTGGTGTGCTGCTGTCGATAGCGGTGGAGGAAGGACTGGATCTGCATGCGTTAGCAGTTTGGCCCTGTTAATGACCAGTCCTAATCCCTGCATAGCTGGTTGCGTTGAGATGGGTGTCCAGATCCAAACTGGCAAAGTCTGAAGCTGAACAGTCTGGAAGAGAGGGGCTGTAGCATACAGCCTTGGAGAGGAGTGGGAAACCCCAGCTTGGGCAGGTGTGGGGAGCAGGAGGTTACTGGGGCTAACGCTGTCCCCTCGCTTTCGCAGTGTCTCTGAGAACCAGTCGCTGCTGCGGATGCCACCATGGCTCAACATCTGGCTGCTGGGGGCCATTGTCATGTCCATGGCTCTGCACTTCCTCATCCTCTACGTCAAGCCCATGCCTGTGAGTGCCCTGTGTGCCCCCTCCACGTGCAGCCCAGGGAGCTCCTCCTGTGGGCAAGGACATCCTCTGGAGCAATCTTTGGGTCTGGAAGCGTCTGGGATGGTTGTCCCCAGCACATGCCCTCAGGACCAGGTCCTGTGACTTGAACCAACATGGGGACCGGGAGACACCCTGCCCCAATGAGCCTTTACTTAAGTCAGAAGCTCTCCTTTATCTCGGCTCCTTTTGGAGGCATCGCCCCCCTTTGCAGTCCAAGGCTGGTGATGCCTCAGTTGATGCCTGAGGGCGCTTAAGATGAAGCGGGTCACTGTGGCCAGGAGGTTACATTGTCCTTTGTCCCTGCTAAGCGCCTATGAGCACATACAGTCCTAGCTTGTGCCTCACTTTCCTCATCTGCAGGAGAGATGAAAGACATCGTTTTTGACTGATCTTGGCCAAGAGCCACCTTGAGATCATGACAGACCTTGAAGAAATCCTGTTGTTTGGGCTGTCTGGATCCCTCCTTCCTTGTACCTGGGATGACCCTTTCTCAACCTGTGCCATACAACAACCTGACCTTTAAAACAAACAAAAAAATCCCACCTCCTTCCCTACTGACATGTCCAATCCTTTCTGCCTTGCAGCTCATCTTCCAGGTAACCCCCCTGAGCTGGCCACAATGGGTGGTTGTAATGAAGATCTCCCTGCCCGTTATCCTGCTGGATGAAGGACTCAAATACCTTTCCCGCAACCACCTGGACGGTGAGCATGGTCTGCCCCACACTGGGTTATGTTTGCTCCATGGCGCTTTGCTTGGGGTTCATGATGGCTTTGTGGACACCTCGCTCGCCTCTGCTCGTGTGGTGTCTGCGCCTGCATGTTCATCCACCTTTGTTGTGAAAAAGGGACTTTTTGTCCTACCCGCTTCCTTCCCGGGTGCCACACCAGGCAGAGCAGTTGGCACTTACATCTGTTTGAAATACTCCCTTAGGAGCTGGAGCACTAGATAAATCTGCCATGTGAGTTTATCTAGCTCCTTTCGAACCTCTGGAAACTGGATCCCTTCTCTTATAAAGCAAAACAAATCAAATACTGGTTTCTATAGGAATCCTTCCTTTTTCCCCTCAATCTTCCACCCCTCTATGGCTGTCCTTATCTTGTGTTTGCTGCCTCTGTGTTAAGATCAAACGAGAGCTGAATGCCTTATAAACTGTTTATGATGGGATTGCCCTTGGCCAGCACCTCTCGGGATCCGTCCTGTGGCACATGTGGAGGAGAAGCAGCTCCTGTGACACCAGGGCAGCAGTTCCTGTGTGCTCCTGGGCTGCGTGCTGTAAATCACAGCATGTGTTTAGGCAGCCCTCCAAAGACGTGATATCATCTTTTCTTTCATTTCTTGCAAAAGATGTTGCTGTGGGTGATATCTTGGCACTGAGTTGAACCTGCAGGTTTTCTGAGCAGTGGCTGGGGGGCTGGGCAGTGGCTGGGGGGCTGTGGCTGCGGAGCGGTGCTGTGCCTGCCACAGGGCTGGCCCCTCTCCAGGAAAACAGATTTTATTCATTTTTTTAGGGTGTGTTGGCCCCCACAGTGATAGCATGGAAAAAAAAGGGCAGGAGAGACATCATCCTTGCCTGAGGAAGATGGGGTGGCCCTGGGGGGCAGATGAGCCACCTGAATGTGGGGACTGGAGGTCCTTTCACAGCATTACCTTGCTCAAACCTTTTTCCCCACTTAGGCAACCAACATTCTAGCAAACCCTTCCTTTTACCTTCACCTTTTAATAATGACCCAGGAAAACTGTGCAAAGCCACTCTCGCCTTCCAGGGCTGAAGGCAGGTTTGTCTGGCCCTGGCAGGGAGGGATTTGGGGCATCGTAACAGCTCTGTTTGGTTTCACACGGAGCAAAACCATGCAAAAAGCTGGAAATACAGGATGGGAAATTATTGCAAGCAGGGAATGATCACAAACTGGTTGCACTCCCCATCACCAGGTCCCGGCATGCTGGCAGTGCTCACATCAGCTTTCCTTTCTGCGGCGAGCTGATGCATAACCACAGCAATTGCTCAGTGAAGCCTCTGCTGAGGAATGGATGTGCGGGGGCTCCTATTTTTATGGACCAGATAGAAGTTGTTTCTAGCTTATTTTTATTTAATTGTTGCATTTCTCAACAGACTGATAGGTGCTTTGCATCACGCAGATCTATTTTATTGTATGATTACAAGCCTGTAGCAACAATTTTATGGCGCAACACTGGGCATAGGAGAGCTGGTTTAATTCCTGGCTGTTGCATCCCATGCATGCCCTTGGTCTTCACTTCACCATCTGTGATCTGGGGATGAGTCTGTCTTTCTCCCACACTTTCCATTTCTCTATAAAAACTCAGCGCTGTTGGAGGAAGGGCTCTTCTTCTTTGGCTCTGCCAGCGCAGCTCTGAGCACAGCAGGGTTTCTGGCAGGCATATGATCCTTTCAAATCCCGTAATACCAGCTCAGAGTGCTTCCTTCTCCCGTGCCATGCTCCCAACGTGCTGGGTCCTCTGAGCTGCCCTCATCCCCACGGTCACGATGCTGCTGATGCTCATGGGTCGCTCTGTGTCTCATCCAGCAAGGGTTTCCCATGCACCTATTCAGTCATGGCTATGGGGCAAAATCATGCTTAAATCATCACATTTGAAAGAAATAATTGAAATCCTGCATATTCCTAATTCCTCTGGGCTTTGAAAAGCAAATAAAAAAAACCCTCCAAAAGCCACTTTTAAATGTGGTATTGTGATTTTTTTACCAGGCATTCTCAGGACAGTAAGGCACATGTGGAGCGGGGAGCACCAGTTGAAAACCTGCAGGACTCCAGAGCAAGGGTTGGCTTTCTTACGTGTCTCATTCCCGAATGCCGTATTCCTATGCTTCCTCCAAAGTCTTGCTCGTGTGTGGTGGGGACTTGCTCGGGCTGTGTCCGGGTGAATGTGGCTTGGAAAACCGGCTGATAATGGAGGCCAGGGACCCCTTACCCAGACAGGGTCTCCTTTCCCACACTGACCTCTGTGATTTGCTTCAAAATAAGGTCTAAAAAGCCTGTGAAGCAGCCGCATGGCAGTTTTAGTCAGGGGACAGGCTACTGCTTGGTCTCTTCAAGGCAGTGCTTGGGCATGGCCTCCAGTGTGGGACCTTCTGAGGCCAAAATCTGAGGGATGGAGAAGGGTGTTCAGTCAAGGGCTGCAAACGTATAGCTGTGAGTTCTGCTGATTCAGGTTTTGCATGGAAAAGTTTCTCCTTTATCAGATTTAGATAAGTTGTGTTTCCATTATGCTGGATTTTCCTTGTCCTTGAAGCGGCAGAAAGCTGAGACTCTTCAGTTTTCACCATGGTCTCAGTGCTTTACATTCCTCTCCTCATCCTCCCGGTCACTCCTAGCCTCTCATCTTGCATGCCTTGCATGTATCATTGCCCTCATCCATCTCTGGCCCCTCTGAGGTTTCTCCTGTCTCAGTTTTGGGATGCAATGCAAGTGCACAGCTGAGCTAGGTTGTCTTGGTGGGGACCTGCAGATGTTCTGGCCAGGAACATGGAGATGTTCTCCAAGATCCTCTCAGGTGTCCATCACACAGATACACGCTGGCAGGCTCACAAGGGCTGACCACCCTCAAGGACCTCTTGCCCTAGTATTTTTAATATTTACTGTCCTCTATACATTTAAGTGTATTGCTTTCCGAGCCCTGTGGCATGCAGGAGGAAGGTTTCCCGGCATCTGTGCAAAGATCTTGCAGAAGTCTCCTTTCTGAGTGGTTCTCAAAAGGTACAAAATCCGGACAGGACACTGAGATAACCCTGGTCCTCGTGCTCCTCTGTGCACCGTCAGCCCGCTGCCACAGCCACTCCGCTCCCATCCAGCCTTCCTGCACCATCCCTGGGACTCCTCATCTTCACCATCTTGAAGCAAACCCATCACAGGTGTCAGTGTTGCCACTCTGGTGTTTTCACTTGTTTTCAGCACGTTAAGCGGCAAGCCCTGCCTGGGTGCTTGGGTTTCACTGTTTCTCACCTGTGCCGTGGTAAAAGCAGGGGCAAGTCAAGAAGCGGGTGCTTTCTGCCAACACAGCTACGCAACTGCCCCGCCAGCAGCAGCGTCACTGAAAATCAGTTGTTTTGATGTACAAGAATTGTCTTGGCGTGTTTTGTGGCAGATTAGCATTTATGCAGCTCTTTGTCCTTATGCCTGGTGAGGATGGCAGCCCCCAGGTGATTCTGCAGGAGCTGCAAGGTGGTGGCCCCACCATTGGGTACCTGTCCGCTCTCCGGTGAGCGGCACCACGCTCTGCAGCCTCCTGCCACCGCTGCTGATGTGCAGGTGAGATTGTACCCTTGGGTAAGCATCCCCACCACCAAGGGAGATTTGGACTCTTATTTGCAAAGTCGGCATCAGCTTTATGCTTTCACATCCTCCCAGAGGAGAGCAGCTGGCAGAGGTGGCTGTGCGGTGACAAGTGCATCACGCTCCCTGCCAGGGCCAGCCTAGGCTCCGCATCCCTCCGAGACAGCCCAAAATCTGCAGGGACCAAAATCTCCATGTCCCATCACAGAAAAGCCCCAGGACGTAGTGAAAAGGAGCTGCTCACCCTCATGTCCCCCATGCACCCGCACCTGGGGACGAGGGCAGCCCCCGAAACTGCCCCGGGAGCCCAGGGCTGCTGCAGCCACCCGTTTCCCTGTGAGGGAGGCAGGCGTCCCTCTCCCTGGCGCAGCAGAGAGCTGGGAGCGAGCGCCTCTGGCCGTGGCTGCCCTTGTAGGGTAATCTCTGTGCGGAGCTACCTTGGCTGGGTGCTGGCGTCTGGGGAGGAATGCGTCCCTACGGGCCAAGTCGTTCGCTTGAGCTGTGGGATGCTCTGAAGGAGAGCGGCACCGCACCTTTCGGTGCCGGAATCCCTCCAGCTTCTGTAGAATCTCCGGATTCTACAGCTCTGCCGCCTTACTTTTTTTTTTTTTTTCCCCTCCCCCTCTCTCCTGGGTTTTTTTTTCTTTGATGCGTGTGCATGTGCCATGCTTTAGAAATGGAAGAGCAGAAGGAAGCTCTCTGTGCTGCTGCCCTGGTATTGCAAAGGGATAGGAGAAGGATTTCCCTTTTGGTTTTCTGGGGTCTGGGGACTCGGCTGAAGCTCGGGGTGCCCTGGTACAGTGGGGGAGATGTGCAACTTTCAGAACTACAATGGCTGCAGCGTTTCCCTCGGTGGAGGGAGTGATCCAGGCTGGTGGCTGGAGTCTGCATCCCTCCAGCATCGCCTTTTACAGGAACCCATTAAGAGGAAAGTCAAAAGCAATAAGGGAAAACCTCCCCAAAAGCCTCGGCTGTTCTGGTGGGGAGCAGATCTTGTAGGACATGAGCTCATGTCGTTCAGTTGCAGGTTTGCAAGAGTTGAAGGGCTGTGACAACCCTGAGAAACTTGGTGTGAGGCAGGATCCAGATGGATCGTGACCACCCCATCAATCCTGCAGATAGGTCCCTGCATCCCCCCTGCTCCTGGCACCACTGCGCAGAGAGGAGAGCCAGGCACTGGTGCACAGGGACCTGCATCCTATTAAAGCGAAGTGGGTGCCAGACCCTCAGCTGACTGGAGTTCTCACAGAAACACCCAACTCACTCTGTGCCAGGGGGCTTACTTAGAGACCCGAGAGTAACATTTTGAAGAGCATCTGCCATGGTTAAACACTCGCTGTCAGTGCTGCAGCCATGTCCCGTTCCTGTCCCTGCCCACCGTATGGCACAGCCACCCCGTGTTTGCACAACTACAGGGTAAAGCATTTAGGGGAAGCGCAGTGGCTTGTTGCAATGAGATTTAATACAGCACGGTCGCCAGCATCCCTGCTTCGCTCTGAAGCCCACGGTGCCAGAGGTCATCCAGAGGGATGCTGCCATTGCAGCAATCAATTTTATCTCAGGACATGAGGGCTGGGCTCTCCAGCCAGCGCTGTGAAGAAATTTTGGCAGAAGTTGTGAAGAGGTTTTTTTTCTTTCTTTCTCTCTCTCTCTCCGCCATTATTTATTAATTCCCCTGGAAGCTTGTCGGCACCAGGGTTGGCAGTGCAGGCGCTGAGCCTCGCTGATAACCCCAGGCAGGACCCCTATTTATCAAGAGCACAGTAACAGCAGTCCTCTGTGAGATGTGTTTGGTGATGTGTGCAGCGATGAAAGATAGAGAAATAAGGTCAACAGATTCATGATAAGTGATTTTTTTCTAACTCTTCTCAGAAAGGACCGCCTTGTGGGTTGGTTTTTTTTTTAGTAACTGCTGCCTCGGGGGCGGGGGGGGTGGCATGGGGATGCTGCTGTTGACTCCTTGAAAACTGGGGATCTAGTTGGTGTGAGTCAAACTCTGGCAGAGATTTCAAGGCTGCTCACGCCGAGTTCAAGCTGAATACCGTAATTTTCCTTCAGGACTTGTGTTACCTGTTACGTTCCATGTCCGACTCCATCCATCAGTAGGGTAGGGAGAAGGGCAGCCCTGGGGCTGGGACAGCAACTGCAGTGGGTAGATTGGTCCTTGCTAGTTGTTCTGGAGATATATATGGATGTAAATATATATAGTGTGTGTGTAAGTGGTGTCAGCTCACAGAGCAATATCCATCCACCTGGCTGTGGCAGGGACAAGGCTTTGGGATGGTGTCACAAATATGATTTTTTTACACGGCTTTGATTTAGCAACAATTTATGATTTATTAATATTTTTGAGATAGATCACAAAATTGGGTTAAATAATTCTTATCAGCACTTAAGCATCAGCCAGTTTAACAGAGCAATTCAGTGGAATTTGTTACAATCAAAACAGTGACTCAGTTAAAGATTCGAGAATGGTAAGGGTCACCCGAAACTTACAGCAGGGTTGCACACCCAGATGGGGTTTAAATCAAATCACACGCATAGAGACAGACAGACTGACAAACAGCTCTAAATCAAATGCACACACACACACAGACAGAGGTTATCCTGTGATTAAAATTTCCCTTTTTGCGAGTTGCATGAATCATTCACTTTTATGTGCCAGCATTCATCAACGGACGGTCGGTGAACCTCGCGGAATCAGGTGTCTGAGTCCTTGCAAAGTTGTCAATGGACGATCCTTCAGTCCTCGCGAAATCTCCCGAGAGGCGTCCCAGCTCAGGGGGAGATACTGGGTCACACAGCCCGCTGCGGTCCCGGACAGCTCGAAAGGTCTCCCTTTTGGATCCCTATTTATAGGATCTCGAGATGATCGGTTATGGTCAGTATTTTACATTCGGGCCACAGTTCGTGCTGAGTCGTTCTGGTATACAATTCGGGCAGCAGGTGGCCCAGGTGTGGCCAGGGAGTGTCTGACACCCAAGTCACTGCGCTTATGACCAAGATAACGGCGCAATAGGGCTGATCCTGAGATCTCGAGTGGCTGGGGGGGCTGCACCACCGCAGGTGTGTGCTGCGATGCTTCCTCCTCTCTGCACCACTGTCTTTCCCTGGGTGCTCCTGATGCTCTCATTAGGAGCGGGAAGGAGGGATCCCTGCCTGCTCGCCTTCCTGCTGTTCCTGCCTGCACGGCTCCGGCTCATCCCTTTTCCTACCTCCTGCAGGCTGAGCATGCTGAGCCCTTCCTCACCTGGGGACGGGCATCCTCCTCCTTGTGCAGCCTGAGCTGCCGTGGCTGCAGTCAGGCAGGATCCCAGGTGCAGCCAGGATCCCAGGTCGCTTCTGGGATCAACCCAGGAGCAATCTCTCTTGCTAACAAAACCAGGGACCTGGTTTGCTTTTGAACCTTCACCAATACTTTTTCTGCTCTTTTTTCCCTTTGTTTCAGGAGAAGAGGACAAGAAATGAATGACACGAAGGAAACGCTCCTAACTAAAGGATCCCTAACTTGTAACTCGGACTGAAGTCTTGCATGCATGACCATCGCTAGAAGCCAGCAGGACATGCATGTGTCCGACTATCAGACAAATGCGGGTGAATCGTCGAAAAGAAAAATACTGATTTTGTTTTGTTTTGTAGCTTTCTTTTTCCTGTACATAAGAGTGCAATTACTGGACAGCTGGTGTAGGGTTTGGGGACAGAGCTGTGTGGACCTGGGTCATCGTAACGTGGTTCCTTGGTGATTTGTTCCTGCAAAATTTGAGGCCCTCTTTCCAATTTTCACCCTGATGGGTTGAGCTCAGGCAAGGCATCCTTCACAGGAGATCAAGGGGGAGAGTCGGGATTTTAGGGAATATGCTGAGTGAGGGCCGGAGGCTGCATCCCCCAGCGGGGCGGGATGTGCAAGGGCAGCTCGCGGGGCCGGGAAGGGCTTGTTGGTGGTCGAGGGCAGGGGAGGGAGGCGAGGGCACCATGGGTTGGGGTCGCCGACCCTCAATGATATCCGCGGTGTTGGTGGGTGCATCGCTGCGGCTGCTGCGTTCTGCTCCGGTGGCCGCAGTGCCTGTGGGCTGCAGCACGTGAAAATAGCTTCAAGGTGTGGGCACCGGTGGCGTGGATCTCACGGGCGTGTGTTAATATGTCAAGGCCAGGTGCGTGCGGTGGAAGGTGAAGTTCCCTCTATTTACCACACTGTCCTGTTTGATCCCTCTGTTGCGGAAAGCCCTGCACCTTCTCAGGCTCATCCAACACCAAAGTGCAATGTAGTCTTTGTTCTTCTCCGTCCAACATCTTGTTAGATCCCATCTGCACTATTTAAGCTGTAGTCATCTTCTTCATAGGGGCAACCATTTAAAGCAAAGCATGGGGATGACTGACTTTGCCTTCCTCATGTCTGCTGCTCACTCCTGGTCATGCTTTCTGTATTCGGTTGATTTTTAACTATTTCCCTAGCAGGAGTAGCGCTTAAGTCCTTAGGAGCATGTCCATGAGTTCACGTCCTCTGCCTTGGAGGACATTGCTGTCTTGCACAGGGCATCCTTGACACCGGTAATCTGCCTTCGAGACAGGAATGAATGTATGCTTGTACATAATGTAGTCCTTCTCTGTGAGCGGTGTTTGTCATGGCATCCCTTTTTATAAGGCACCAACTATATTTTATCCTCTTGGGATTTTTCTGCAGCAGGGTTGACACAGGTTGCAGCAAGAGTTTGTGGATCCAGTAAATTGATCTTTCTCCATTGAGCTGCGTCAGCTGAGGAGATGATAGCGGGTGATTTCTTCTCCAGCTCTCCAAATCCTCCCTCCTGTTTTCCTCAATGTCCCCCTATGATCCATCCTGATGATATTTAGTTAGCCAGACCCTGTATCTCTCCTTTCTCTTAAATTCCAGCAATAGCACTAGACCCAGGGTTTTGGATAGCATTTTGCTCCTTTGCTGTTGGTTTTTTTCTTTTACTTTTTTGCCTCTTAAAAGCTTCCACTGCTTTTCTGTTTCTCTTTCACCTGGGCGAGAGCTACTCTTCCTCTGTACAGTAGGTGCCAAATGTCATCCTTCCTTTCTTTTCTCCATCACCAGCATTGAAGATGAGCAGAGCCCCCAGACCAATGGGAATGTATAGAATTGTTATACTACTGAGCTGATTTAATTGTACAGAAAACCTTGCATGAAATGTTGTTACTGTATTTAATATATAATGTATTCAAGGAATTTTAATATTGAGCTCTTTAAAAAGATCTTTATAGATACTCTGTGGTTAGAAGGTTGTTGCTGATTTTTTTTAATATTATTATACTTTGTCTTGAAGAAGTTTTATTTTTCAAATGTGTTACGTCTAATTGATTCAATCGGTGATCCCATGAGGCATCCAATTCCTCTTTAAAGATTTTCACCTTGGATGAGACTCACCCTGGCACAGAGGACCAGGGCATGACCCAGGTACTGGTTAAGCCTTCAAAATAAGGCTTCAGTAAGACTAACGCTGTAGATGTGTGATTTGCCCTTCCCCGAAAGGGTGGATTTCATCTTATTTTAGTACAGGTCATCTCCAGCTCTCTGTGCTGGGAAAGAACCAGCAGGAATTTAATCCAGTACCAGCTCAGTGACTTCAGAGGAAGTTGCTTCTGTGTTTCCCTGAGGCTGAAAACCAGTTTGGGAGAGGCTGGACCTGATTCAGAGCATCCCGACCCCATTCGTAGGGTCCAGTAGGACTTTCAGCTGCCCGATGGCATCTCCCTGGTATACGGTAGCCTTGGTCCATTGTGCCTGCGGGCACCTGCTTGGTCCATCCACTCTGTATTGCACCACCCAAGTTAAACTGGTTTCCCTGGGCTTAAGGTCTGGTGTAGGATTATTAATTTTACCCACATATGTATGTGTGTGGAAGAGTTTCTTGTGTAAAGGTCCCACTAATGAGTACCGAATAATAGATGGGAGTCTCTAATGTAAGGAGACCTAAAAGACAAAAGAAAAAAACAGAGCTCTGTTTCAGAGCAGAGATGAAATAATGAAATTTTAAGTCACTATTCAATTCCTGATGGTAAATTTTGCTTAGTCTCATCTGACAGCAGAGAGCTGGTTGTGGTTGTACCAGGCATCCTTCTGAACCCACTAACAGAAAGGCTGTGTGAAGAGATGCCAAGTTTGTTATTTTATTGTTGATAGAGATGCAGAGTTTCTGTTAATTTATCACTGATGGAGATGCCACCCTGCTGCAGGCCCGGGCAATGTCAGTCTGTTTGTGCAGTCATTGTGTTGCAATTGTGAGTTACCAAAACCCAAGCCATCAGGGGCAAGAAACCAGAGCTGTGTCCCAGCCAAAGGCTTGTTCTTTCCAGCAGCAGCAAATTGCATTTGCCTTTATATCATAAGCCTCTAGATCTACCTAGAAAATAGTGCAGGAAACCTGCACTAATGTTACATGGAGAAGGCATCCCCCTTGCTAGGAGGGACCTTTTTGACACATCCCCATTTCGACACGTCCCCATTTCCCCTTCTGAACGGTTGACCATGTCTCTCTCCCCCCATCCTTTAATTACTTGGGATACAGGTTTCACCCCATGCTTTTTGATTACAGAGTCTTACTGTTAAAATATTTTAATGAAGTAGAAAAATATCCATATATCTAAGTATTTTTCCTTTATGCTTTGGTGAAGGGTCAGGATAAATCATGGAGTAGTTATTTATTGTATGTATGCCACCAGCAGCGTTCTGGGAGCTTTTATAGGCTGAAGCATGTTCTTGTGCAAACTTGGAGATCCCAGAGCCAAGACCATCGCTTTGAGATTGGGTCTTGTGTCTTACCAAGGCATCCGACTGTGTGCAATACAAGGGAGATGGACACTGGGTGACTGTTTTGCCCAAGAGCTTGTTAAAAAAGGCAGCTTAGGGGCAAAGCCTCTGGGATCCTTGCTTTTTTGACAAGAGAGTTTAGGAATTATTTCCTTTCTAGTTTTATTTTGATGGTGCTGCCTGGCATATTCAAAGTTTTTAAATAAAGCTCAGGTCTTTCCAGCAAGACCTTTAGCATCTGTGGGCTGCTGTGACAGGTCCTCCCCCGCACAGGAAAGCAGCGATGCGAGATGCACAGCGGAGGACACGCCAGGACAGCAGCATGGGGTTGTCCATGAGCACTTTATACTCCTTTCTCAGGGTCCAGGCACCGTGCTGGGTTACAGCCAAGGCGGGAGGCGAGGGTCCCGCATCCCTGGAGTGAGCACCCGAGGGGTCAGCTTTGGGCAGCAGCTGTGACAAGTCTTTCATGCTGTTTTGGGCTGCAATGTCATTGTGGCCAGTTGCTGGATGAGTTCTTCCCCCTGTGGTGCATGATCCCATCAGGAGGCATGTTGGAAAAGGAAAAAGAGAGGTGCTCTTCCAAGCAAAGAAGTACTGCATCCTATGTTTTATTTCTGTCATGTGGCCACCGTATGGTTCAGGGTCTGGATGAGGTTTTTTTGGACTTGTGTGTTTCAGACTTTGGCACTGTGAAGATGTTGTACGTGTGTTTCTGATGCTGTGCTCAGCCAAGGCTGGATGGTACCACCAGGCACTGGAGAAGTCAGGAGCAGGAGGGACAGACTTTACCACAGGGGCTAGGGGACTTCATTCCTGTAACAGCAACAAATCTGGGATTGAAGCGGAGTCATGGCAGAAGTAGCCAGAGGAGAGCTAGGACAACTCGGCAGCAATTTTTGGTCTGTCTTTTGTACATCAGGTCAATGGTGATGCTTCCTAGGCAGGGTCCGGCTCCACAACACTCGTCAAATAACTGTTGTGCAGGGGCTCAGGCTAACGCTGTCCCGCTTGGTGGGAGGTGTTCATGAGGTTCAGTGACCTTAGCATCATGTCACTCCTGAAACTCAAACACACAAGAGTTCCCAATACCAACTGCTAAGACTTACTGTGATTTTTGGTCCATACCTGGCATGACCATCACCTTGTAGAAAAGATGCCAGAGATTCAGTTGTCCCTGTTCAGCCTCACCTGGGCTTTTTTTCTCCCCATCTCTGCAGTGGCACTTTCTGGCAGGGCTTGTCCCCAGCAGGGAGATGGCCCAGGGGTCAGGTTTTTGGGATGAAGCAGAAGGGCTTCACCCCATGCAGAGCTTGCATGGCACAGTTTGGGTTAGGGTTTGCAGGGCTGCAGTGAGGAAGGAGACACACAGGGTGAACAGTGCTCCCTGGACCTGTCCTCTTGGTGTCATTCAGCTTCAGGTATGAGTGGGGCATTAAATGAGCCTAAATCTGTGTGCACCTGCAGCGATGGGGACATGGGTACCGCTGGCTGGTGTCCGAACTGGGGATGCTGCTGGGTTGATCTGGGTGCTTGGGACCAAGAAGAGGGTGACCACTGAGCTGCTGGCTCGTGCCCTCAGTGGCTTCAGTCTGGGAATATGCTGATTTTTTTTTTTTTTTTAAATATGAGATGCCCGAACAGCCAAATCTAGAAATCTCTTGAGTTTGTGCTTCGTAGCGAAAGGTAAATCATTATATCTTGGGGGGGTGGGAGGGTGTTATCTGAGGGGTAGAACTGAAAGAAACAAGGTTTCCTATTTTATTATACAAGAGATATTTTTCCACTAAATTACCACTTCCTGAATCGTGTCCTTTGTCCGACTGTAAAATAGCTAGGTGTGTCATGAAGATGTGGGAAGGCTCCTCGTGGTTACATCCATACAATCCACTCTGTTCACACAATATTGGGCTGATTTGTTTTATACTTATGAAATTGCAGAAATAAAAGCAATTTTATTGGATGACTCTAGGGTGGTTTTTGTTGGGTTTTTTTGTTGGTTTATTAATTTTTTTTTTTTTTTT